CAAATAAGATATGCGTTATGTGAAGCCGATTTCCATACAGAAGATTGCTGCTCCATGCAACACCATTTTCTCATTTTAACTGCGCGCCAAGGCAGCTTTTTCTTTTTCGGAATTTGTTTCTATCGTTCAGATACCCGAAACAGGTCGAAACAACGCGCCGCGCGGCTACAAGAAATATTTAGCGCTTATTCCACCGATAAAAAGCAGTTCCCCTTGCCAGGTAATTCTCCGATTACGCGCAAGTGTGTATCGGATGCGCCATGATGCGCGGCAAAGGCACACCAATGGATGCAATCACAGTGGCCAGCGGACGTTGTTTTTACGAAATAAAATCCAACTACTGCCGCTGAAGGTGTGAAGGCTAATCCGCATCCCGAACCCTGAAATAAACCACGAAGGATATCATTGATGGAGTAGGGGATCAAGAGTCTCAGGACACGGAGCTTTAAAATAACTACTACTTTAGTAATGCGCATTTACTATTCCAGAAAACATCACTCTGCCAATGTTCTGGTATGAGTACCGTACAACTATAATTACATAATATGCATGTAGTACGGTGGCATACCGATAACAATGAATAAGTGCATCATATGGAACGTTTGATGAATAACTATGCCCATGCGCGCACTACAAGAGTACTCACCTGTTAGCAGTGAGTAGCTGGCGAACTGATTGATAAATATCGGATCGGTAGCTGCATACCCATGCGAATGACGTCAGCAGCCTCCGATGATGACGATATTCTGATGCCGTACTCGCCAGCTAGGCGCGCCATAGCGGCCTGACATTATAGGCATATATGATATATATGTTGGCAGAGGAGATCACAAATCAACCACCAAGAAATCCAACCGGCTCTATGGATTGTATATGCGAATTTCTTTTGCCTTTCTACCGAGATCTCGTACATAGAGGGGAACCCGGGGCAAAGCGGAACACGGGGCAAAGTGGAATTGTCTCAGCAGATCTATGTTGATGCCCCCATCTATCTGTGACTGTTTTCATTAGAAAGCTCAGTTGATGATGCATCGTTTTGATGGATGTCACTATCGAATCAGCTGCTATTTACATTTTTTTTGACGCGAAGTCTGTTTTTTATGTGTTTAAACGGATATTTCTAAAAATGAATCATCTGCTAAATCACTGTGATCTTGTGGAATTCTTATGTAGGCTATTTGTTGAATCTAAGGCCTATTGTGTGCGCATATGCATGATGACATTCTTTGCGTAGTGTCTGTACAGCGAACGCCACATGTCTAGAAACTATCATGTGTTTCGGGGCAAAGGTGGATGGGGCAAAGTGAACAGGGTTCCACTTGCCCCGGGCCATATTTGATAGGCTAAATGTAGTATTCATTATTATCAGATTATTTATATGATCTTAATTAGTACTCTCAGTACAGGTAGGCCTATGTCTGTATTTGCATCATTTTAACACCCTAACTCGGTAACATTGGCATAACTGTGTCTTCCCTAGACCTAATTATTGTATAAGCGTCCTATAATGGCATTTTTCTTCTCATATTTTGGCAAAATGGTACCAACTATGAATTTGATGTTCAGAGTTGGACACTGAAAGAGGACCGCAACATTTTTGACACAATATACATGGAGTAAAATGACATTCCACCTTGTCCCATAACAGGTTTTACTGTGCCCGGGAGTCTGGGGCAAAATGAAATATTTATAAATTTTATAATTTTGTATATTTCAATAAAGTCGTTTTTAAATAACTTTGTTTGTACCGCCTGTTTAGTTCTTGTCCTAAGCCAAAGATTAGAGTCAAACATTTCACTTTGTCTCGCTCTTTCACAGCGTTTTGGCCAACCAAATTTCTTCGGTCACTTTGCCGCGGGTTTCCCCTGATCATGATAATTTTAACACGGTAAATAAATTCAGCAGTTCAAATCCACGATAGTTTTAAGAAAGCGCTAGAACCTCGCGTTAGCAATCTAACAGCATTCAACATCAAGCCTGTCCATCAGAAATAACTAGTTAAAATTTTTGTTTACAGTTGGCAAATAACCACGAGTAGTGACTACGAAGAAACAGGTCCAGGTCTAATACGTACCGGATAACATTAGCAGTCCACTCTGAACACATCCCACGCCGGCTGTGATGCTATTGCTTGAACCAAACTCGGTTGTTATGTACGCGTATAGGACACCGAACGACGCAGCAATGTAAATGACTATAGCCCTAACCAGAAAGGAGCCTGCTAGCACAATCCACGCCCAACCATGGTCAACATCACGTTTCCGTCGTTCAGTCGTCCCTGCGGACTCCATTTCCAGCGACGATGGCGAGTTTGAGTAAGTTTTCGAGCTGATTAACCGCGTAACTGAAAATGACTGCAAGCTTGTTGCTCCCGAGCCAAAAATACGGAGCTGTATTCTTATTCACACATCGACGCACACGCAGTGTGTGTGTGTGTGTGTGTGTGTGTGTGTGTGTGTGTGTGTGTGTGTGTGTGTGTGTGTGTGTGTGTTTGTTTGTTTGTGTGTCGTGCGTGCGCGCGCGTTTCGCAATTCTGGGACGCGCGTTGCTAAAACATTACGAAGTGCCATTTCATGTTAGGTAAGCAAGGTTCGCACAATTCCTTCCAACAACGATTAGCTTTTAAGCTTTCTAGATTCTTTCGATAATCGATATTGATTTACAGCTAACACCTTCTGAAGTTCATCTGCTAACTTTAATGTCGTACTATGATAAGAGGTCGTAGTACAGTGCATATAACCGTCCCGTGCAGATTGTCTAGACTCTAGACATACTCTGCACACGTTCTTGAGAAATTGATATTTCGATCTGATTTCCTTATTTCAAATCTCGGCATGTAGTTAGTGGTGGTAGCAATTTTAGGTGCCATTTCGGCACACCCACCAGACAACGCAGTATAGGTGCTAACCGCAAACAGCAACTAGTCTTTTTATATGAGTATCCTACTGCAGTGTGAAAACTAATATTGCAATCCAGGATAGAGGCATACGAAGAAGTGATTTTTGTTAAGTACTGTTAATTAGTGTTAATTGCCTTGTGCAAATTTGGGGAACATAGGTCATAAACCCTATACCGAGCATAATGAACAAGCAAAGTAGGCCCCTACATATTATATTTATAATAACAAATTATGAAATGTTTTCCGTCACAACTGATCTCGTCACTGTTGACTCTAGTTTCGAACGTCTAATGCTAAGTAGAGTAGTCTATTCATAACGGAAATTGTAAATGTTATTATTAACGGGAATTGTAGTCTGCTGCCTAAATCCGAACTCATGGGAGATTATGGCGGGAGGAGGTTCAAACAAAAGCAAACGAGTTAACGCACACATTCTCTATGAAAATGACATTTTATTAAAAGGCCACGTATGCTGTACAAATGCAAAAATATACATGGTGTATGAAATGCTACATTACCACACTATTGCTAGTGGTGTTACAGAACATTATTCTCCATCGCATGTTGCTGTGACGATTTGCAAGAGAATCGAGACCTGTGTATTATACATACGGCCATGTTAGGAACAAGAGTGTAGATATGTCCATTTGTTATAGCCGCACCGCAAGCCAAAGAACAAACGGAAACAACGGTCTACGGCGGGGGTGCGCAACATTCCAATAGTAACTCATAGAATTCCAATTCAACGCCAAAATTCCTATGCCTACTATTAGAGCAAAATGTTTTGTTTATTCTAAAAAAAGTATCATAAGTGTTCCTTTGCCGTAGTTCATCGAAAATTGCGCTGGACAATATCTTGATGAATAACAAATCGTAGACCAAGGACAACCTCACAGAGGTTTCGCCAAGGCAATGCCACTTCGCGTATGCTAGCTTATAAACTATCACGTGGCAACGTTGTCTCAAAATATTACTGGCACTACGGGCAGAAAAGAGAGCTACGCTAAGACTGAAACAGGCGTCGTCTCCCTTCGCCGTGGAAGTAACCACCTGACACTCTAGTAATGTTGTGTACACGTTATAATGGCAGGAAATCTGGAAAGTTAAAAAAATTACATATTGAATACTGGCATTATTATCTTAAAATGTCCGGCTTGCAATCAACTGGCTATATAGTATACACAACGACATAATATCCTCAAACCAGTTGCATACGCACAGCACCCTCGCTCGCGTGGCATTTACCCTCATAATACGAATTACAAAAAACTGATTATCTTACATGGCTAAAATATGTTTCACTTCCCCCTCTTCTAAATTCTCTAATAAAATCTAAATTCAATAAATACAAATAATAACGCAATTTTCAGAAATTCGAAAGAAGAACACAACGCATGGTGGTGATGATGATGCTGACCACTACTGCCTACTTAATCATCCATAACGCATCTAACGGATTATAACATAACACTCTACTCCAGGGACAGACATACAAAATACACGTAACTACAACCGAGTCCAAGTCAAAATATAAACGGCTTCAAACAACCTTAAATATGCCTACTGTACAAAGTTTACAGCTAATAAAAACAGGCAAAATGACTACAATAATACTTATTATCAGTGTATACTTGTAATATGTTTATCGACAAAAGTTCAAACCCTGGCTTCTATTCCGAATGCTCTGTAGAATGATGGTACCACGCGGATACGATACGGAGCGCAATTCTAGCTAGCTCATAACTATGATAACGTAAATCGTTACTGACCGTTCGCACAGAGCGAACCATACGATACCTCGACAGTTATAACAAAATATCAACGATTTTTTGTAAAGCTTTGACCTAAGTCATCCCCGATATTCCATGCCCATACTTCGTATAAGATGAACGAAGAGAAACCACTTGGCTCGCCTACCAACCATCTCCCAGAGCATTACCCACACCGACTACAGTACCGCACCGCCCCATCTAGCTAGCGAGTAAAGACCGCAATGCATAAAATTGAGAAGAAGAAAAACACAATCTACTCGTACGAGTAGACTTGCCCGTAATGGACAGATGCTGCTGTAGTTATCATGCAGAATAGGACGGAGACAATAATGGAACTGTCGTTCTCTGTCGATTGTCCATCCAGATGTGAAGACAGCCGGACGCTCTCACCCATGATACGTTACAGATACCCAACTCTCCTACTCCAATCAGCGTCACCTTCC